ATTATAACAAAACCTGCCAATTCAATATAAATGGAAAAAAAATATTATATGGAATTGAACGAAAATGAAAATTTGCTTGATAATTCAACTACGCTTGTTGGAGAACAATAAAAACACTACACTCAACACGCCACCAATAAAACTCAACTGCCTAACCTATAACCAAAGTCTCCTTTTAATTTGTTTTTAAAAAAAAGCGCTTGACAAACTTGCCCAGCATGCCGAAGTTGCCCCGGTCTCCCCTATTTAAATAAAAAAAGAAGCTTTTATTGGTTATGCTTGTGGACATGGCGATGGAAGATGGAGGGAGGAATAACCCAACCTCCACCGTATACATCACTGAAATGCACTTACACACGTACTGTACATCATGATTAGATTCTACATTTGGTTATGTGATAAGCACAACCAAATGTAGAATTTTGGGGTGAGTCCTACAACATCATTAAAAGGCATTGTCAGGTATGTTCTCGAAGTTTCAGTCTATCTTAATATTAGAAGTGGGTGAACTTTGATTTGAGGACTGGTACAAAGCAAGTTAAATAAAAGCGTTTAATAAGTTAATAATTAAAAATAACCGCGGTGACTTTTTCCTGAAGATGTAAAAAACAAGTTTGCAAATTGCTAATGGAAACTATAAAACGAATTAGAGTATTTATCTTAGTATAGGATTAACAGTTTATTTTTCATGCAAAGATTTTATAACGGCACTTTACTATTTAGTTCGTCTGTAAAATAAGAATTGTAACATTAACATATCGAATTCTTTAATATTTTTTTTCTGTTAAATATTTCTTCCTCTATTGCATCATAAATTATTATTATTTTTTTAATATACTGTATAACTTCTTTCATTAATAAATCTACGATAGGTCTATCTTAATTGTGTATTTAAACAAAGATTTTGCGCAATATTAACATTTTGTGTTTTTATATTTTGATTATGATCATATTTTAATTGACATTACTGTATTTTAGTTTTTAACATCAATATTTGCAAATTGAATTTAAAAGCCAAAATTAATTTTTTAAATATTTTGCTATTAATAATTTCGAAGTGAAATTAGTTATTAACGAGCAATTATTTATTGTGACATCGTCACAATGTCGGGCCACAATTTAAAATATATGCTCTCCACCTCAAATTAGTAGTGGCTTTCTCCTGTGCATTATACTTTTCCTTTAACAATAGAGTCGTGCCGGTCATTTATCTAACACTTTCGGGGGATCATTTTTGAATTGAAATAACGTGACTTCCGGTTTGCATCGGAGGTTCGTATATAGTTAATCGGGGCCTCCTGCTCCTAAAGTTTACATATTTGATCTCTTCTTTTATCTAATCCGCTTTAGAGACTAAGAGAAGACAGACAGACGGACGGACGGACGACAGTGGGAATTGATAGGTCTACATTTTTTTTCCAATTGCAGCCCAATAATATTCTCGCAAGATTAATTATAAAGTTTTTTGATAAAAACAATATCCAAAATCCCTAATTATTAATTGTATTTTGTATTATTCACAATTCTGATGTGTTTGTAAGAATTCGAATTTGTTAGGAAAGGTAATAAGCATTTAAATTTATTATAATTCGTATCGATCTGTAAACATCAGCAAATGTTAGATCTATTTACATAATTGCACACCGATTTAGTTAACTTTGTATCGATTTATAAAATAATATAATTAAATTATACTTAAGTAATGTCTCAATATTATGTGATAATTACGAAATTATCGTAATGAAAATTGGTTTCTTATTAATAACTTTTGAATAACAAAATCATAAAATTCCAGTGATTAGCCTAAAAAATAATATTGAAAAGAAAAATTGTTAGTGTTAGTTTATTTTTTCCAACATTTGTTGTATAGAATTTTCTATTTGAATACATCAACTTATTTTTAATGAAAATAAATAACTAAAATGTTGAATTTTTCGAATAAATCAAGACGAAAATAGAAAAACAGAAAGGAACGCATTATGTTGTTTCTTAAGCGAATAAGAATCAGAAATGCCCTAAGAAAGTCTGTTTGAATGGAAATGTAATCAGCTGAAAGTTCTTTTCATTTTAAATATGTCATTCTCATCTGTAATTTCAAAAATATTTTTCTTTGTAAATGTAGAATTGGCCTATTTATCTCTTAAATTATGGCAATCATTATTTTAAATTTCTATATAATTTAATCACCAGAAAGAGAATTCCTTTTTTTTTAAATAAAAAGCATTTTTATTTTGTCTCGTCATTAATTATTCTTTATTAGATTTTTAAATTATTATAGTTATTTAATTAATATATATAACTAATATTGTTTTAAAAAGTATTATATTTTGCAAGGCAGATGTGAGAAAGTCAGGATTAGACACATAGTATATCTGTATACATAAACTTACAGTTTGTGATTATTTATTCAGTCTGCAAAAAAAACAAATTTAAAATTACATATTTTTTTATAAACTTTAAAACTTATTTAAAACTTTTGAAAAAAATTACATACCGGTATCTTACAATTATTTATGTTACTTTAAAAAATAAAATATAAGTAAATATTTATTTGCTGAATATATATATNAATAAATATTTACATATTATATATATATAAATATAAGTTGATGGAAAATTTTCTGCATTTTATAAATTTTTAATCGCCTAAAATAACGAATAAAATGAAAACACGTATAGAATACGTAAATTGTTAAAGGAACAAAATGGTTTACCTTTCGTTTCGTTTATTATAAACATATTTACTGAAAAACATTTACATAAGACGAAAATCTTTTATCAGATTCCACTCGTTTTATTCGATATATAAATACGATTTGCCAATATTTTATACAAGTTTTCCATTTTGCTGCATTACCTGCATCAATCGACTTTATTTTTTTTTTTTCGGTAACGTTGAATAATTCGTCATCGTGACATATTTATCTCCATGCAGTTTATTTCCGATGTAAATTCCACTGCATAATTTTTTTTATTTTTAATAAAATTATTTATATTCAAATTAAAAAATTAAGATGTTATTATCGTACATAATATTGTTAATTTATAGTTATTCGTATTATGTTAACGTTATTAATATATAGTATATATTGTACAGATAACTGTTGTTCCATTGAAAATGAATATAAAATAACAGGTACAGGTTAAATATTCAACGTAAAAACAGTAATATAAATGTCCCAAAATCCGACTCGAAACTTGTTATGGGATGTGTCGCCATCTGGTGATAAATAAAAAAAATAAAACAATCAGCAGCTAAGTCACAGTTAATATTAACAAATAGTTTAAAATTAATTGTTTACATCATCATTTAAAAAATATTATATATTTATATATATATTAGAATTATATAAATTTCATTAAAAAATACAGAAATACTTAGGTTAAATACTTAATCAGTTTATTTATTAGCAATTTTAGAAATGTAAAAAAGTACGATAATGCAATATAAAAATAAATTTATCATTTGAGAAAGTATGAAATAGAAGTGCATAAAATAATAGAAAAAAAAAATCTTGCCGGAACCCGGGATCGAACCAGGGACCTTTAGATCTTCAGTCTAACGCTCTCCCAACTGAGCTATTCCGGCACGGTAATAAGTTTTTATTTTAGCATTTATATAATAAGCTACCCAAATTGGAAATTCCATATTTATTATTGATTTATGAAATTCGATTTATGGAAGATTTCACAAAGTTAATTTTAAGTAATAATATACTTAATTTATTATAGATATTCATTTATACATTTTAAAATTACGTCTCATAAATGAATATATTAAGACGTTAACCAAATACTGTACCTACTAAAAGTAAACTGAATGATAATTGGTTAATTTCCAACTCTTAATCCATTATCCTTGTTTATGAATTCCGTCATCAATCATAATAATGAGGCGATACAAAATAAAATATTATAGAATAAGTATTATAAATAATAGTTACAATCATGCTTTTGTCGCAAAAATTTTTGTCACGATTATAAATTAACAAACAATTACTTAACAAAATCTAAATGTTTTAAATCATATTGCATTATTATTATTATTATTATTTATAGAAATTGCTAACGCAAGTTAGGATGGCCGAGAGGTTCTGCGTTCAGGTCGCAGTCCTGTCTTCCAGGCGTGGGTTCGATCCCACGCCTGACAGTCTTTTGTATTTGCTTCGATTTCTCTTTCATTCTACCGCTAGCTGGCATAACTTATATCGAAACATTAACACGTACTGTACAGCTTTTACGAACATTATTTATGTTCCTGCTTTATTGTGAAATTCGCTAATTTAAGATAATTTTTAAAATTCCGCCAGTAGATGTCGCATAACACTTTTGGTTATCTTCTATAAAAACAAACGTGTAGAATATTATTCATTAACTTGATTTACGGTGGAGTATTTTAAATGTTATCCTTTGTTAAATAATAAGAAAATATTTTGCATTAAGTTATGAGAAGATAGTTTACTATCTGACATTTCTTCCCTCACTTTTGACGTCATATAACTCACGGTAAGTACTGTTTATATGCTAAAAAAACATCGCAATGTATTTTTATTAAAGTTTTTATGTAATTATTATTTTAAAAATATTTGTATCGGTGGTATGTAAGAAACAACACAGATTTATATATTTAAATGTTATTGTTCTACGTATTTAAATGCATTTAAATACGGAAACAACACAGATTTATATATTTAAATGTTATTGTTCTACGTATTTAAATGTATATAAATCGCAAAAATTGCGTTTAATTCAAAAATTCCTAGCATAAATATTATTTCTTTGGATAATCTATTTTGCTTTAGTTAATGTAGGATTAATTGCAGTTAAATACAAACTTGTAAAAGAGACAATAGAAAGTGTAAATTAATTAAAACCACCCGGAAGTCGCATCAAAAACGAACGAGGATACCGGGGGATTTCTTCCAAAAATCTCCCCGAAGAAAAATGTTTGAAGTCGACACTGTACATGGGGCTCCCTAATTAAAATTTGCATGGGCTCTTATGAAGCTATAATGCGCCACTGGTCTATTATCCAATTACATATATCGAATTTATTTAATATAATTTTATATTACAGAAAAAAGACGAAAGTTATGCTTTACATGTATTTTATATAATTGCTCCAATCATATTCACAAACTTACGCTATATATGCTATATCAAGAGAAAATAATACAAAGTTGCGATAGACAAACTTTTTTCCTATTACACATCATTGTTAAACATCATGAAATTGTTTCTACACAATATTTAGATCTATTTTATGTAAAATTTATAAGAAATCGTAAACTTTAATCATCATAATTTTAAATCTAAAAATTGTTTTTCATAAAATTAAACTGAGATTTCAGGATTTTCCTTTAAAATTGGAATTTTTTCAATGTTTTACCATAAAATTTGATACGATATTTCGTAAACGTTATACAAAATATAAAACTTTTCTCGTGTAATAAATTAAATAAATACATTATTTGGAGGTTAACATAATCACATAATTTAAATGATTTTAAATAAATTTCTTAAGTTAAAAAATATTGTAATTAATATTAAATCGAAATATTTGAATGAATTTTTACATATGACTTAATAAATGACACAAGATTAAAGCCATTAAATAAAATGACTATTTCACAAAGGCATAAAACTCTCAAATATTCGTGAAATTTTGCTGATATTTCGAATTTAAAAACAATTAATGTTTTCGTCATCACGAATCACTCGAAAAGTCCGGTTACTTTCATAAGGCATTGTGTCAAGTTCCCTTGAAATTTATTTTTACTTACAGTTTAAAGATTCATTTATATAATTTATTATTGTTATATTTAGCAATAATTTTGCGAAATTAGGCGATAAAAGTAGAAAAAGGTAAATAGCCTTTGTATAGCGATCATTAAATTCGACGCCAAAGAGATAAAAACAGTAAAATAAATAATTTATTTACACGTTGGAATTGCTTAAATGTCATTAAATAATATGAAAAATCATCGTGGATAAGGAAATTTTCTATTAAAACATGAAATTTATAGAGAAAATATTAAAAATTAATTTACAAATTAAGAGAAATCAAATATTTTAATCTAAATATTTCACATTTAATATATTCTTTATAAATTATATAAATGAAGTTCTATTTTCAATTAATCTTTTTCCAGTACGATATGATTAAAATGCGTATTTTTGTATATATACGAAAATATCCATTACTGTATACTACTGTATGCATTAAATATATATAGTAATTCTATCTTTGAGATAGAATAATTGTAGACCTGTATATATGATGATATACATAAAGTTAATCTATAAATTCTTCTCGCGAAAACATACTTTTTTCAATAGATTCATAGAAAAAACAATGGCTAAAACTATATCGAACTAAAAGTCTAATTCGATATCATTGCTTTTCTCAGTTAATAATGAACATATATAAATTAAATATCAATATTTGTGGTATAGTCTACTAAAAGAAAATATATTAATACTGCGTGTATTTTCCTCAGTATATACATAACACAACGTCTTAGATCCACAAACGAAAGACGCGTTTTATTAAATTTGCTGACTAAGCTAAGCTTTACCTTTCCAAAAATAGACAGAATTAAAAAAAAATTGCAACCATATGTAATTCGTGCTTATTGAGTGTCTTAATAACTAAACTTTGTGGAATTAATTTGCGTAATTAAATTACTTAAATCCGTATATTACGTCTAAAATTTCTGCATTCCTTTGTCTACGCGTCGGATTTTACATATCTTTTATTTATTGTAGATGCCTCGAACTGCCAGCTTTAATTTAGCAGAAATTAAAACTTCGATGCCCAGCTCATCTAGTCCACAGCTTAAATCTATATCTGTTAACAGTTTCAATCGTGTAACAGAGAATACTTCCCCAAAGAAAAAAGATGGTTGCTCGTTTTCTTGCGGCTGTAAGTAATACATTTTCATAAATTCAAATATCTCTAAAACAAATAAAAAATAAATTATTTCAATAAAACTTTCTGAAATTAACTCGTAAATCATACAAAGTTTTGTTTTGTTTATTTCTTTCAAAATATGAAAATGCTAACTTAAATATAAATTATGTCTGCAGTTACATTAGTATTTTCAATCCTAACTGAATTTAGTATTTTAATTAGGAATCTACTTTGATATTCTGTGAAGATAATGTAAAATCATTCATAAAGATTTATGCCAATCACGAATGATTCTATATAATTTAAATATTAAGGTTATTAAAGCGTTGTAGACTCAATATTTTAAACGATGTTTCGATCTTTAGATGCCGTCCATTAATTACGTGTACAGTTTTTGAGACAATTTAGACCCCTTCCCACCTGTTGTGTACCTTTGGCGGTTTGCCAAAGGTACACAACAAGTACTCACTCTTAATTTCGTCTTGAATAGTTCATGAACTCCTCAGACTTTTAAGAAATGACCTTAAAATGTTCGACAAATATTTTTTGATAGTTTATTTGCATGAGTAGTAAATGGGGTTATAAGAACAAATTCGTGCTCCACTAATACCATTAAAAATGTCCACATAGACAATGCCTCTACCTCTCCCCTTAAACCATACACATAGTTAATAGACGGCCTCTCATTTAAAGCACTAAAACATTATTATTAATAAAATTATTCTGATTTATTTTAATAACTATAAATTTATTATTACAGGGTGTATGGGTGTATTTATCTGCTTGTGTTGCTTAGTATTTTTTGCGATGTTACATTTGTATTATCGAATATTTATCCCTGCACCGACTCAAATGTATTTTGATGGCCCTTTACTTATACAAAAAGGTAATTTATTTAATACGTTTTTTCATACTCTGATATAATAAAATATAGAATTAACTTATAAAAAGAAATTAACGTAACCTAAAAAGATAACATTGTTTGTGAAGTGTGACGTTACTTAATCTTTGAAATCCTCAATTCTAGAGAATCAACGGATTAAAGGATTATTCTAATCTTCGTCGACATTTCAGAAATAAATTTGTCACTTCATTTTCCTATCATTTTGTTTGAGAACAAATGCATTAAAAAAATGTTATCTTTCGTATACAGAAGATTTATACCAGAGATTTTATCTCCTTGCATTTAGTATGTAAAATAACTATATTTTACAGCATATAAAATGTACTTTTTTAAAGTTTGACCCTCAAAATCGCGTTGCAGTCCTTGAGATCCAGCTCGGGCTCTAATTATCTTCTTTATTCTATATATAAACGATACATGGCGATGTCTAATGAGAAAAATAAGTCACCTCCACATTAACAATAAAATAACCCACCAATTAAAATAGTATATTACAGTACAGCAAAAATCCTAATTTAACAATCTAAAACTTCAGAATGAATATACCCAAATGAATAATTCGATGCATCTCTTGCTGTTTTGCTGTAGACTATTCTACAGCAAAACACGGTAAATAAAAATTATTTTAATTACCAAATAACGAAAATAGATTATCCACTTTATTACAGGATACTTACGTGTTTATCCTAATTTACCGGAGCTGCTAGAAGACGACGACAGAATACCGGGTGTCTACGTAATAAATCCAAGTGTGGAATATGTAAACACAAAAATCATTCCTAGTTTAGACGAAATATTCGAAAGTAAGACAAAACTTCTTTGGATTTTAATTGACCGAAATATATATATATAATTCTCTTACTTCTTTCTTGATTCGTAGACCAAAAAAAATTTTTGGTACAATATTCTGTTCCGAATTTCAATTATCTGGACTCGCAGTAACCAAATTAACTACACAAGTACAGTGGATTGTTGATCTATTGTTTTTGGCGGGACTTGGGGGGAAACGATTGATACGGGAAATTTATGGCGTCGATATTTTTATTGTTTATCTCGTATGAAAAGTATATTCGATAATCTTATATGATGGCTTTCTGTAATACTAAACGTTATGGAGCAAACACACGGACGTTCGTTTAGTATTACAGAAAGCCATCATATCGTTTATTCTACATTTTAAAAAATTGTTAAGAATACTGAAATTTGTTCTATTTTCTTTTGGTAAGAATACTTAATGTATTGACTCTTTTCTTGCACTTGAAGATGATACCGTAGAAGTGTTGAAAATGAAAAATTTTTGTCACTGACAATGTGTTGATTCTCTTACGGAAAAGGGTTCTAATTTTTCTGACTTGTCCAAACATGATCTCCCCTACCCTCAAGACAACGCAGGCTTGCCAAACTTAAGGATAAAATAATCGAGATAATTTCAAGGGAAAACCCTTGAAATTATCGTATTTCACTTAAAATTATCGTACATCCATCTAGATCCTTTGTACTTATGCCATTTATCCGTAGAAATATTAATTAACAAGGTTCTCCCTATGTCAGAATCTCGTAAACTTTTTATCTGCAATCCTTCTTAGAACAAAAAAGTTTTTAGACCCCATTTTACAATAAAGTTTTCACGACTTTCCCTTATAATAAATGATGCAAAACAAACCTCTGAATGGGCATAAGCTAAAATTTACGTTTTTTCATACAATTTCAACATACCAAATATTAACAAATATGTAATATATTCCTTTATATGCCGTACTTATTTCATATGCATAAACCTTAGTTTCCAAATTTTTGCGACCGTCTAAAATTTTTAGTCCACTCCTCGAGTGATCGCGACTCCCTATGCCAAAAAAGTTTTTGTTATAGACAGTTTACTAGATGGAAACTACTCTGTAATTTCTACATTAATACGTTTTATTACATTGTGTGTACAAGTAGAAGCATAATGGCATTTCAATAGAACGTGTTTATTTGCACAAATTTTCTTTTCACATCAATTTGAGCATTTTATCAGTAAGTCTAAAAGTATAGTAGTTAGTAGTCTCCAAGTATAGTAGTCTCCAAGAGTATGACAAAGGTGCGCTTTATAGTCGCGAATATAGCCAATCTCGGTAGTAGCCAATCTAAAAATAAAAACTTCCGAAAATTTAGTAGCTCTCTAGCGGCGAAAAAGACACGAAATATGAATGAAAAGGTCATAGGTATAAAAATAATGATTGTGAATTGGTTTTTTCAAAAATTAACAGTTGCTTTCAGAGTAAGGCATATTTATGAAATATCGTACATAGTATGGCGCCCGAAATAATCGGGCGCCATATGTACGATATTATTTCGTATATGTTCGATTATTTCGGGCGCCATACTATGTACGATACTACGTACAGTACTATGTACTCTGAGACAAAGTGCTAATTTTTACCAATGTTGTCAGGCTTTTTACCAATGTTGTTGCCAATAAAGTACAGTATTTTGTAAAGCAGTAGACAAAAAAGTAGGCAAAAATCTCAATAAAAACTGATTAGCTGTAGTCAAAGGTTGAACTGTTAAATTTGACGTACTTTTATTTTTAGTACACGAAAATCACTGTTTCAATTTAGCACTCTCTATTGTGAGTAAAACGATTTATGCGGGATAACATTTTTCTTTCAGTTAAAATACAGAACGAACATTGCGGGAACGAAGAATACGGGAAAAATTAACATTATATATACAGTATATAATATTCTCCAGTCCCAAATAAGGGCCCATATAAGTTATAAAGAGGAATCACTAAAATCTAGTAATTTGAAATGCATATATATTATAGTGTCAATAAATAATATTACAAATACAGTGAATTCTCGATCTATCGCTCCGGTATCAATCTTTTCCCGCATTTATCGGTTGTTTTCTCCAGTCCCAAATAAGGACCCATATATATATATATACATATATATACATATATATATATTTACAAGTNTATATATACATATGTATATATATATATATATATATATATATATGGGTCCTTATTTGGGACTGGAGAAAACAACCGATAAATGCGGGAAAAGATTGATACCGGAGCGATAGATCGAGAATTCACTGTATTTGTAATATTATTTATTGACACTATAATATATATGCATTTCAAATTACTAGATTTTAGTGATTCCTCTTTATAACTTTTACAATACAATACTTTTTAAAAAGTTTAAATAGATTGTAATAATCCGAATTTTATTTGTATCTGTTTAAGCTTTTTAAAAAGTATTGTATCAATTTTTTGATGTTATATTAAAGAGGAATTGCTAAAATATTTTAATTTGAAATACATGTACTACAGTGTGAATAAATAACGTTACAAATACTTGCGTATTTAATTTAGTTACTGTGAGTCCAGACAATTAAAATTCGGAACAGAATATTGTACCAAAAATTTTTTGGTTTACGAATCAAGAAAGAAGTAAGAAAACTGCTTATACTCCGAATCCCACTAAAATAATGAATATATATTTTTTGTTTATTCGCATTAGATTACACGGAGAAAACGAAAGATTATCCACCTCATCATTATACTATGTGTTGGTTAGAAAATCCAAACAATCCTAATACGCCTTGTTATTTCGATCCCAATTGGATATTGGAAGACTGCAATAAGAAGAATAATTATGGTTTTAAATCGTTAAATGGTTTCTATAACCCTTGCGTTTTATTGAGGCTCGAAGATGTAAGTTCATCACGAAAAATTTGTATATAATAAATACAACCCGATAATTAAAATTTACTTATTTATAATTATATTCAACGAGAGATGGCAGCCTGGAAGCCGCCTCCTGCCAATTTACATTGTAATTATTTGGCCTTAATAACCCAATAAAGGAAATGGCTGTTCGTTTTGATACGAAAAATTAAGACAATCTCTTTCTATAAAAAATTGTCTCATCCAAGCTGACAGTGATGTGGGTGTTTTCAATGTTTATAACACTTCCTGTGTTGCTTATTGTGAACAGTTTCATAATGTAAGGTTTGTTTGTTTAGTTAAGTCAACGCAACACTGGGCGATCTGCCTAGGGGTATGCTTCCGGGCGGTCTTTTTATGGGTAACTGGCCCCTATTCAGGCGTTACAGACGTAGAGAAAATTCGGAAAACACGTGACCAGCCCGTCTTGGCGAGGCGCGAACCCACGACCGAACTCCCAGTGTTCAAGGAACGGAACCGCTTGACCACTGGTGAGGCCCATATTGTAAAGACTCCTGTAAATGAATTTTTTGATAGAATTACATTGTGTAAATATATTTGCGTTCTTGGCCAATATATAGTATTTAAAAAATCTGATTTCTCGATCATAGGTTAGTACTAAATTTTTTGCCAATACATTTTTGGCTTTTTAAACTAAAAAGTAGACTGTAGGTAGATTGCGAAATTGATTTTGAGATTTAACATACATAATACGGATGCATTTTCAGACAGAAAATTGGTATCCAGAACCTTTCCAATTTAAGCATGTTAGCAAAACATGGGCACATCAATACGATCCTTCATATATACCGATAGGATGTCATCAGAGGGTAAGAAAATTTTTCAATTCTATAAATTCACATAAAATTATGAGATAATACATTTAAAAAATTTTCAGATTACCAACGAAAGCAACCAAATGAAATTAAATACGACCATTTATCCTAGTAAAGGATTCTCGATTCATTTCTTCCCACAGAAATTCTTTAACAGCAGCATATATTTAGCTCCTATGGTAATGATACAGATTAAAAATCTGGAAGTTGGAAGAAATTTTTCTATAAATTGTTGGGTAAGTTTAAAAATAAATATTAAGAGATGTATTCACGAATATAATTTTGGAAATTATTTTCAGGTCCGTGCAAGAAATTCTTGGCATCTAAAAGACAGTGGTGAAGTTACCATACATTTTCGTTACCCGTTCACACACGTATCGAAAACTGAAAACGCTAGCAAACACAAGGCAACAAAATTTGGAAAATCTTAGTTTTAATTGAAAACAGTTAAAATTTCATTGAATTTAACTGAAATTGTTTGTAATTATAAAATCTGTCAAAACGAAATTTAAACAAATTCGAAATATTAGAAAATAAATATTCATTGCTTTAATCAATTTAGTTCAAATTCTGAAATAAAGTTTAGTTTACTTTAAAAAATCTTAGTTTAATATAATTAAATTCATAAAAATTTCAGCAAGAAAATAATTTTAGATAAAAATATATAAAGGTTGTCGATTAATTCATCATAAAAGTCTAACAAATGTTTTGAATTTCTTTTAATTAATATACGGAAAAATGATGCATCTACAGACAGTATTTATTTTCATAAAATAAAGTTTTTTTAATATCAACTTTAATATATTGGTGACTGTACACTGAATTAATAATTTCCATACATATGTAAGCTGTCATTACTACACATTACAGAAGAAAAATTGATCAAATATCAAAAGTAATTTTTTAATTATGATTACACTCAATAACTGCAAATATGTTTAAAGGGAATTGATATGCTGGATAGATGAATATTTTAATTAGTTTAATAGTTACTGTAATATAATCATACTAATGTCAATGATTTTTATATTTCATTCATAACTTCAATTCAACACGGGATTGTCCAAAAGTAACGTACGAAAGGATACTTCTACACATGAAACGTATCATATGGGGCATAGTTGGGAAACATATAATTTATGGTGTAAATGTAATCATTAAGGTAAACCATACAATTATCATTAAATAATTAATAATTATAAGGCATACCTTGATAATTACATTTACGACATTTTACACCATAAATTACATTAAAAAAAGTAGTTTTCATATTGTACCGTAATAAATTTTTTTAAAAACTTTCCGCCCTGTGAGTGTTAAAAGAGCGAAATAAAATAGTCAATTACAGTAAATACTGTAGTTTTCTATTACAATACAACACACAATCCATACATTTTTACGTTAAACGTTCATTAAATAATTAATACGGTATGCCTTGATTTTTTAAGTGTAAACTTCGTTATTCGATCATTTTTTTCTTCGAGTAAGCGCGCAAGTCGTGTCAAAATTGCCCACGGATTTTAGAGTATCGAAATTTTCAAATTATTTTGTGCTTTTCGTCAGGTTTACTTTAATGAAAACTGATAGGACAAGAATAGAAAAAATTGCACTAACTTTCCTATCAACCAGGAGTCATCGTCGTTACTTTCAGACTTTAGTCCCTAAGACTGTCACTTTGTTTTCTTTTTTTAGATTAAATAAACTTTACTAAATATGAAGATTAAACTTTTTTTAACCGTATGAATTACTTACCTACGAATGATTACTTCATTCGTAAAAATGACGAACGAAATACAGCGGTATCTCGGTACTCTAACACAAATTCGGAAAAAAAGTCGCCCGGTACTCGAGTGAACAAACGTAACCGGCGAGAACAAATTTTTCGATTAATAACATACTTTTATTTCGTCATCCATGTAAATTTTTTATGATAAAAATAAAAATATGTTGCTGATATATCTGATCAAGATTGACAAAAACGCTACTATACTTTGTAAAAAGAAAACTCCCTAGTTTAACTAAAATTAATATTGACATGTAATACAGTACTTTTAATTGTGATTGTTAGTTAATTATTGATTGGAAATAAATTATCGATTGCTTTAATAAACATATTTCTCTTAGTAACAAAAACAATATTATACTTTCGCTAATTTCTGGAACCTAACCCTATGTTTTGCACAAGTCCTTTGTTTCGTATAGCATGAATTCGCATAACACGGCACTTTTTCTGAACGTAACTATCGCGTTATATGAGGGATACCTACACAGTAAAAGCTCGATATTATGGACAGCCGTTGTTGGACCAGCCAAAATTATAGGAAAACTCATTCGCTGTAACGGACCCCCGAATCCCGCTACTATGGACTATTTTTCAGGTCCCGTGGACAAGTCATTCCGTTATTATAGACTTTTTAATCGCCGTTTTTATTCCGTCGCAATTGTCGTTTTATTTACTTTATTTGCAAAATTAATTAATTAATTAATTTTGCAAATAAAGTAAATAAAACGACAATTGCGACGGAATAAAAACGGCGATTAAAAAGTCTATAATAACGGAATGACTTGTCCACGGGACCTGAAAAATAGTCCATAGTAGCGGGATTCGGGGGTCCGTTACAGCGAATGAGTTTTCCTATAATTTTGGCTGGTCCAACAACGGCTGTCCATAATATCGAGCTTTTACTGTGTAGGTATCCCTCATATAACGCGATAGTTACGTTCAGAAAAAGTGCCGTGTTATGCGAANAAAATTAATTAATTAATTTTAAATTATTTTTTGTATTTATTTTTTCGATGTAAATTTTCATTTAGTTTAGTTTTGATCTACAGTAGTAGTTTTTAGTTTTCTCTATGAACTTGTTTTCTCTATTGAGTCTTGGATTTGTTGTGTAAACTGTAAAGAAAACGAAAACTTTACATTTATATTTTAGATTTACCAACAGATATTTTTTTTACAAGTTTATTAAAAATCTGGCTGATATACTTTACAACTGAAATTTTGTCTACTACGTAATTTTTTGTCTACAATATCGATACACAGTAATGGACAAATCAATATTACTATATACAGCAAAATCTCCTCATATTGGCAATACAACGAGGTAAAAATACATTGAATTAGCATCTAGACCAGGCATGGTCAACATACGACCCGTCTAATGAATTTATGTGGCCCGCGATCAATCTTTCAATATTAGCTATTGAAGTCCGAATAGCTATTGGCACATTGCCAGCCAATTTCAGGTCTTTTTGGATGTGACAAGTAGCTCCATTGTCCATGAACAGAGTGAATGTTTTGTCCATCAGACCACTGGAGAATATTGGAAGGCAACCCTTCTCCAATATGGCAATGTATTTTTTGGAAATTAATATTGCCTCATGCATTTGCCAACATTTGTGGTGTCTATTTACTTTTGGGTTGTCTCTCTACAAATGCAAACTGAAATTAGAGTGAAAAGCATATATATTCTCTTCTCAAAAACACATTGAATATATTTCTCACTCAAAATTGTTATAAAATTTTTAAGATTTTTTTGTATGTAATCTACAGATTCTTTGATCAAGATGTATTCAAGATTGTTAATCAAATTATAGTGTTAATAGAGTACATTAAACAGTGATAATGTGTCAATATATTCTAAAATAAAGAAAAAGAAATTTAAATATAAACAAACATTGTTTTATTTGTGTCAATACAGAATTGATATCAGCACAATTTAAAAATAAAATTCCAATCAAATTTAATCAACATTACTAGAACAAGACATAAAAATTATAATTGTAATTCACAGTGAAAATTTAAACATTACTGAAATTGTAAAAAAGTATATCTATCTACAAATTATCAGTAATTTTGAGATTTTACAAGCTTCAAATGACATTGTTAAAAACTTATTAGGCTACATATAATTTCTCTTTTCTTAAATATTTACGAACTGTAATAACATACTAATTTTAAAAATGCAAACAAATGTAATTAAAAAACTTGTTTTGAAAGTAATTTTTCTATAATAAGATCATTTAGTTATTTATTGTATGATCGGATAATATATCTTACTGAATTCTTCAAATAGTGCAATAATACTTTTAAGAATCACTTCACATTTACATTTTCAAAAATTTTTTCATCTATGTGCTTTTGCTGAGGCACACAATACACATAGCTCAAGTTTCACTAATTCTAATCATAAAGAGAAATACTTATTTTCCTTTTTTTTTGAACTGATATGTCCTTAATTTTTTTTACTTTCTTTTGCTTGTTTTTATGACTTTGAGCCATTAAAATACGAAACATGTATGTATCATAGGACACCAATTTGCATTGTATTTACTTGGTGGGAATGTCCCTCCATCTTGGCCCCAATATCTAATCTAGAAGTTTATCAACATATATCTTTAAATATATTCGACCGTATTATAATTAAAGGCATTTCAAAAACTATTCTGTGGTTTATAATTCTTTTAATTGCAGAAAATTGGAAACAATCAATTTGCTTTCAATGAACAAACTGACTTGTGACTTGTAATTATTCACCTGTTAGTTTATCTTCGCTTTTGAGGGACTACATCTGTCTAAACTTATATCTTTCTATAGCAACGAACCACCATCTTCATAAATTCCGAATATTTGTTACAATAAAATAATTTTTTTAGAAATTCATGATTAATTTTCAGCACACAGTCTTCTAGGCAGTTTTCTGAGCACTTTGAAGTCAAATGTTTTAGTAGTAGAATAATTAATACAGAGGACATAGTTCTTGTATCTTGCAAATTGTTTCATCTTAAAAAAGTCATACATGCAATATAGCTTGCATAATATTTTGGAATATAAAATAAAAATAAACAAATATAAAAATTAATTTCTCCATACTGTTTAAATATTTATAAATCAGTTGTGTTATAATTTTTATATTGACACACCAAACATATGCAAATTATGATTTTTTTCATTAGCTATTAAAATTTTAGTTGTCAAATTTAAAAATGGAAAGAGTTGACTTTTGAATTTGACTATAGAAGAAATAAATTTTCCTGACAGCATACTATTTCTGATTAGCAGCTGCACTGTGGTTAATAGATAATACAACATTTAGAAATTTGTATATATTTCAGAGGAAACTAGAGAATGTCACGCTTGAGATGGAGAAACTGGTTGTAGTAAAGAACTAACATCCCAAAGCTACAAAAGAAAAAGTCTACATTAAAATTATAAAAAGAAAAATCTTTAAACTTACATATAGCTCATTATAGTACATGAAAATAAAATAGTTAATTCTTTAATATTAAATATTTAATATACAATATAACAACAGTGATTATGATAATAATAAATAAAAGTACATTAATTTATTTTAGTTACATTTAAAATATTTAATTTTGATATTTCAACAAATAGTAAGTAAATTTAAAGTTACATTCTAAATCAATAGATGGCAATATGCCTATATATATACTAGTAGAGGTAAATTCTTATACTGTAATTAATATATTTAACTACTTAAAATCTCAATAAATTTATTTATTATAACATTACATATGTATACCTGTATACATAAGTGTTATTATTGCTTAAATATATATATATAATATCTTATATATAATAACACACCATTAATTATATTAAGAAAAGTAAAAATTTTTTACTTATTTTCCAGTGTAAAAAAATTTTAGTAAAAGTAAAAAAAAAACTTTCATATTTTTGTGTGTCGGTTTTTGTGTCTTCATGCTATCTACATTTTCAAATTACTATAGTTACATTAACAGAAAAATATACAAAGAATGTTAGACATTAAAGTTCTTCAGATGCATAATTGATCAGAGAGGAATGAGATGACCATAAACCAGGATAAGAAAAAAAAAACTAAAGATATATCAACAACAAATTGAATAGTAGTTGTTTTTTCACATATACTATAAATGAATCAATGAATAATGCTGAATTTGAACACAATGGCTTAAGATACTTGACAGATAATATGTAAGGTTCTGATCTCTTACTAAAATTCATGTTAAAATATTTTAGAATGAAAAACAAGAAAGAAGATAGAAATATTTTTCTGTATGAAAAAATGCAAAGCAAATGTAAGCAATGTAAGAATGTAAGTCCTAAGATCAAATATCTCTGATGGGATCAGATTAAATGTTGATATTGACCTCTTCTGCAACCTAAGTGAAGATTGCATTACACCTAGCAGTACTTAGCAACAGCTGTAACTTAGAAAGTGAGGGTGTCAAACCAATCAGGACAATTAATTGAAAGGGCCATGTTAACAAAAGCCCATGTCTCAAGGACACAAGGTTCTTCACCAGTCAAGAATTTTGACAAAGTGCCATATCTAAGGTTCTTTCACTAAGATCCCTTTCTATTCCTAAGTTGTACACTTGACTCCATCCAAATCTATCATTTACCAGTGGGAGGAGACCCAAGGGTATCTATTGAAGGGGGTACACAACTGGGTGACAGAAACTTAAAAATTTTTGCACACTTAACAAGCATACAATTTTGTGTTATTTATTTATTTATTTATTATTATTTTTTAATAAATATTGGTAAAATATATATGAATATTTATAAGACTTATGATGCATGCGTTATGAGTTATGGACTATGAGTTACAAGCTATTTCCAACTTAGGAAAAGGAAATGTTTTGGAACAACATACCGTAGCATCATTAATTATTGTATGTCAGAAGCAGTTAACAAAGCACATCAAAAAAAGCAGTTCTTCGAAAACAAATTCTTTCAAAAAACTTTTATACTTTTTGTTTTAATGTGTATTGAATTTAATGTAATACATTTTTAATTTTATGTAATTGTTGTTTGTTTTATATACCTATATTTGTTAATTTTGGGGGCAGATATCAACTGTCCTTCGAGACTTTTCCATTTACTTATAAAAACAAATAAATAAAAATATGTAATATGTATAAATATGTTTGTTAATTACAAAATTAATCTTTTAACTTGTTTAACTCATTTCTTAAAAAACGTCTTTGAAATTTACTGGGAAGTAGATCAATAGAAAAGAATGGTTATTTTAATAAATAAAACAATAAAAATTTTGTTTTTGTCTATTATTGATCTCTTATTTTGTCACCCGGATGCCTGGCACCCAGTTAGTGGAAGCCCAGTTGACCATTGTCTATTTGCCATCACCCAGTTGATGGCGTCACCTATCGAATATTGATCTTTTCTCTGGTTCTCTGTGGAGGTTTGTCCATAGATTTGCAGTGAATGACAGTGTTGACCAAGGTATTGATATCCATCCCAATTAATGTGTCAACTAACATTGCTTGATGATTAATTGAAGGATATTGTTGCATCTATTTGTTCAGACAGGTAAATAAAATGTGTTGAAAAATGATGGTCAATACTCCAAGTTTCATGTGCATGTGCTTGAAAGCACCACTGCTACCACATGGGGGTAATCTGGACCTCCATTGCTGCACAGTCTATATTGCTGGGGTCCCATTTCTTGGTCCTCCCAATCATCTGACATCATCTCTAAATTTTTTTATTTGTAGACATGTCAAGGATCATATGTATGCTACAAAAGTGCCAGAAATGCTCCCTGCTTACAAGAATTGTAGATGTCATTAGTAGTGTGATTTCTAACATGCCAGCTATGTTAGGGTGTACGCAGCATGCTGATGTACTGATTAATGTAGTAACTAATTGTTTTCAGATGCACTTTCTATTACTATTGTCAACAGTACTATACTCACATTTCTTTTCCCAAAATTAATCCACAAAATTAGGTACATTTGAAGGAAACACTCTGTATATTAAAATCTTAATTAAAATTTTTGTAAAAAGATTCTGATGAGGAGAAATATCCTAGAAAGCATTTAATGTAGACTTTCTTAAACTAAGCTAGGTTGTTTTGTAATTTAAAAATTATTAAAAATATTTTTTATCTGAAAATTTTGAATTTGAAAACTGACTATAAAAATAACATTTGCAACACCTTAAATATTTGTAGATTTTTAAAATTCTAACTGTACAACTTTAGTATTAACTAATTAATTTGACATTACATATAAACTTTAAATTATAATTTGATAAAAATGTATAAAACAAATCATTGAAAGATTTATGACAGTGTTTGTATGTAAATTATTATACCTGTACAGATTCCATTGTGTGTTATACAAAACGCTTAAACAATACAAAATAAATCAGTCTAAAGTTTTAATTATTTTTCATTAATTAATTAATGTTAAAATTTTAACATAAATGATCAAAATAATTCATTAATTTATGAGAAAAAAATCACATGATTATTTCACTAAATTTAGTTGAAACAAAGGATATTATTAAATATTAAGTAAAAATGCATTACATTAATGATAACTAATATTTTAAATCTATCGTTTCATATACAGAAGAAATTACAAATTTAAATTAAAATATCCTGTTATAAGTATCTTATAATTCAGAAAACAAAATTATGATTGGTTTAAGAACATTAAAATTATTTGAATTTAAACAAATAAAAACATCCAAACCCAATAGTTATATATTACAGCCAAACAATTGCCAAATTATATCAGGCTATATTACTACTACTACTATCATCATTATTAATCAAATGCTAAGTAATTTGGCACTAGAGGCAGGTGTTAGATGTCATCACTTGCTAAATTTAATAATTATAATTAATTATTAATATATATTATATACAGTATATTAATTATAATTATTAAATTTAGCAAGTGATGGCATCTATCGCCTGTCTCTAGTGCCAAATTACTTAGCATTTAATTAATAATAATGGTTGTAGTAATATAGCCTGATATAATTTGCCAATCATTTGGCTTTAACATTTGAATTTAAATTAATTTATATCAATAAAATACACAGAATTCATACCTTTACATATTCCTTAAAAGTAATCAAATATTTTTATATCTACAATTAGTAAAATACCAAAACTTCAAAATAAATACAAATACGAACAAACTGCTTAAGTGATGAAACTATAATTGATACTTAAATAGTATAATTTCTGATTATTATATTAAAAATTTTACATATAATCCTACCTTTATAACTTTATCTGTACCAACTGTTAGAAGATGACAACGTGTTTCATCTAAATCCATATCAACGATACTATGTCGACTATCATGAAAGGAAGCCAAAGAAGTTCGACTAAAATTGGTAAATATATTAAATTACTAAAATATAAATATATTATTATGAATCAAATATAATATATTTAACTTTCAATATTCATTTAATAGATCAGAAATTGATAATATAGCCAAACAGCAGAGTCAAGTTTTACAACAATGAAGTTGTAAAGTGCAAGCAAGACATGGATGAGGCTTTACAACAATTAATGTAATATCTAACTAACCTATGCTTTATTTTGGAGTAAATACAGAATATAAACATGTTTTTTATTTGCCATATTTACTTGTATATAAGATTCACTGTTTTTCAGGTTTTACTATCTCTGGAAGTAGGGTGCACTTTAGATTAAACATAATACATCATTGCAGAAATGGCTTTTAGCCCTTAGTATAATTAAATTAATTAATTAAAATATCTATAACCATAAGGTAGATAATAGGAAGGGCTTATCACACCAATGACAAAGGGCACAAACACTCAGAAATGTCTGAACCTGCAACTCTGTTGTTCTACTGTTTTTGGTATGTACATAATTTAAACTGACTGTATAATATTAGTTCATAACTGTTAACCAATATTTCGGCTAACTTATAACTATTTTTGTATCAGCACCCTGTTCATCATGTTACCATGCAACATTAGGAAGAAACATTACTCCTGTCCACATGATAATGCTTACTGCTCGTACAGTCATGTCGACGGTTTCATCTTTATATTGTATAGCTTTAGACATATTTTTTTAGTTTAATTTTAAATTTAATATTTTTCACCTTGTATAATTTTAAGTATACTTAGACCTGTCGCTATTACCAACTGATGAGGGACTATTTTTCCATTGGAAAACAGTCCAAAATGCATTTTGGATTTTTACGGTTTTTATACTTATGTAATCATATTATTGTACAACCCTATTTGTTTTATTAAATTTTTTACTTTGATTTTTGAGCATTTGTGCCCTTTGTCATTGGTGTGATAAGCCCTTCCTATTATCTACCTTATGGTTATAGATATTTTAATTAATTAATTTAATAATACATCATAATTAGCAACTTCTAGTGTCATGTGTTTTATTTCTCTGTCGATAATTCCATTGCATCATTTTAATAATTCTATTAGACCAGTATTTCTAATGGTAAATATCTAAGACATCAACTTAACTCCACAATTTCATCAGTCTATTACAGTGACATCTTAAGTACTTCGATGAAAATCCCAGACAAAGTAAAGTTGTGACACTCTTTCAAGAAATATTACATTTTCAATACTTTAAAAGGCACTGGGAATGATTGCAAGTGAGAAGATGTAAACATTGAATCCTGCATTGATTAAGAAAAGCCTAACAGGGAAAATGAAGGGATTTCCAACTTTGATAACATGGAAGTTGGTGATATATAACTCTTTATATGCAATAAAAATACTAAACAAATTTATGTCAACAGAACTGATTTTGTTGATAAATTTATCTCAAATTGTCTGTTTTTCTCAAAAAAACTGTGGACGAGCATATAGAAATTAAGGGACAAATTAGATTCGGGGTATTATAGATATAAGTAACCATACTTTAAATAGTTTTTAAACACATTTTGAAATTTATTATTAATTTAATGTAATATCTTATTTAAAAGATTTAACAATCTCTCTATTCTTAATAAATATAAATTTTGTCAATACATAGAGTATAATGTTTCTAAATTTTAATTAACACTACTTACTCAGCATTATTAACAGCACTATGGCATTCATCACATACTCTTACATCAAACTCATATCCCATAATTGGAATACTAGTACGATTTCCACTACATTTGTCACAAACAGCTTTTCCACACTTCCTACAGTGATGCTGAAAATTACACATTAAAAAATATATTTTGCAGTCAGACATATTTTATTATTATTATTTTCTTATAAATTACCTGGCGTATGCCAATTGTTTTTTGATCAACCATTGCTTTTATATTCCAAAAAAACGGTCGTGAACAACGTTGACAGCAATCACTCTCTGACCATTCTGGAGTCTAAATTTATAATAGAACAAATTATTAATATATGAATATTTAATGTAACAATAATAAGAAGAATAGTAATAGTATAGTCTACAGTATATAATAAAATACTTTCATGTAAATTCTTAAATTTTATCAAAATATTTTATTTTTAGAAATTTATATTTAAGTTGAAAATTTTACATCTAATTTACAGATTAAAACAAATTTTATAAATATATACAAAATAAAAATTTCAGTAATTTTCATACTCATTTTGGATATAAAATATTGGTTTTCATTAAATTGAGATTTTTTTTGATGTGTGACTGACACATTTATTGTCATTTTCCTATTATTATTTTGTACTTTATTCTTTGAGTTTTTTATTTTAAATTTTGTTTATCAATCTCTAGATTCCAAAAATAAACTAATTTTCCTGCTAAAAATGGCAAAATAATTTTTGTAATATAATGCAGTTCTATTGGAGAAATAGTGAGATAAACATTTAACAACAGTAAATGCGTCAAAGACATTATAATAAATATTTTAAAAGTGTTTTTCACAACAAACGTATGACATATGTCAAAGCCAAAAAAACATTCACTACATGTGAACGTATGGGATGTGACAGTGACTGAGAAGGGGTTAAATACAATGTAACAAAGAACTGATGTGATAACTTTAAAACATGTTTACATTATGTCTATGAGTAAATACAAAATTGAATAGTTTCTTAAGATCATTTTGAATAACATTAAAAGCTTTTTCTATTCTAAACTATGTTTCCTACAATTAAGATTTAATCCTGAATTTAATTACAAAAATCATGTATTAAAATTTTAATTTTCATATAATTCTAACCTGAGAATTTAAAATTCTAGCTTAGATTTTATTGCATTGAATGAAAATGAAGAAATAATAACGAAGATAAAGAAATAAACTGCATAATAATTTTACTCATACATTTCTTTATCTTCATTATTACTTACACCTCATACTTCAAACAATTCTAAGTTTGAGCATTTCGAAATTCAAATGCTAAATGCAAGAGAAATTCAATCCAGAGTTTGAACAATGCTTCTACATTTGAACTGCATATGCAGTGAAAAAAAATTTGCTTGACGCATGAACATCTGTTGTGTGCCAAAGTTCTCTCTTGCTTGAAAGCATCTGTTTTCAAGCATTACATTTTTTCAGTGCTTTGTTTTGTTTTATTTTTATAGTGCGTTTGCTTATATATATATAACCCTAATCCCTACATATTAACAATGGTATCCAAAAAGTGTGGAAGCAACAAAACCTAAGAGGAAGGTTGTAGTATCAACAATTCAAGTGGAAAAAAAACATATTGTGAAGTATGGAGGTACATGTGGCAGATCTGGCAGTCATGTTTAAGATGCCAAAGTTGACAGTGTGCAACCAGTAAATATAATTTTCCTTTTATTATACAGTATATGTATTTTATTTATTATTTTCATATTTTACTTTATTATTTAGGAAATTTTATTGTCTTATTTTTCCATAAATTGTGTGCAATTGCTGTTTATCAAAATGGGTTTTATTTAATCTAGAAATGATTTCACTTTCCATTATTTCTAATGGAGAAAATTGATTCAGATTTCAAATGGCTTTCTGAAACAAATTAAATTTGAAATACAAGGCACAACTGTTTATACTTATCATCAACACTTCAAGATTATACTTCAACAATATTGTATAATATATTACCAAACAGTAACTAGATGTATTTTATTTAAATGAAATTTATTAATTTTTCACACAAAAAATTTTTACTTTAAATATGGAAAAACAAACCTCATGTCTTTTTGCTCTCATGTTCCAAAATACTATAGTTGAATCTTCACTTCCCGAAATTAACTGTCTGGATGCAGCTGCATAACAAACTGCTGTAACTTTATTGCTGAAAATAATTAGTTTGTGTAAAAATTAACAATAATAATATTTATATTATTGTATTTACATTGTAAACTGATTAAAATTTATACGTATTCAAAATTATTATTATGCTTATAATTAATACTGTATCTTATTTTAATTTACAAGAATCACTCAGAAAATTAAAATATTTTTTTTTTATTAATCCTTATAACATTTTTTAAAAAATACTTATTTTTGAAAGAAATGACTTATAGATTTATTAATCATTATTTTTTTACATTCAATTGTATACTTTTCATAATTAATTTTCAGAAATTAATATTAATTATAAATTTAACAGAAACTAATATATTAAACAGTAAAATATTCCTAAAAATATAAACCAAATCGTATTTTTTTTATTTTAAAATTTTCCACTCAAGTACATATGTCATATTTCAAATGATAGAAATGAAAGGAAACAAGAATATCATCTCATAATTGAGATACCGATTACAATCATGATCATTTCAAATTTTTAAAATTAATTATTTAATCAATTATTTTCCTACGCTCCATGAATTTTTCTCTATTATAGTCAAAATTATGTATATATGCTTAATATAGAAGCATTAAACATACATCTTATTTCAAATTAAAAAAAACAAAATCTCCAATTAATTTAAAAGTAATTGTGTAAAAACACATTCTAGTCATATGCCAACATTATATAATAGTAATAAATAAAATTTAATGCACCTGAAAGCATGAACACATGCAATAAAAAGCTAACTGCTTTTTATTACAATTGTATTTTTGATATTAAATTATTAATTGCATTTTCATCATTAAAGGATTTTCCTCATTTATCTTCTTAATATATGTTAATCCCTCACTTAATGACTTTTCACTATAACAGTTTTTGAAAACTTACACCACTTTTCAGACAATACCATTTTTCCACTATAGTGACTTTATTTTTAACCAAAGAAGATTCTAATAAATATTCAATAAAAAATAATTTTTTGACATTATAACTTCAAAAGATAGTCACTAATTCATTCGACTATGAACATGCTCTGTGACTGTTGTATGTATTCATAATTTTTACATTTTAAAGTGTTATTGCAGTCTTTAAAAAATTCTCTTATGGCAAAATAAAGTGCACTTTTAGTGTTATAATAATGAGCTCAAAATAAATTTAAAACAAAGAATGACATAGAAAGAAGAAACAAAGAAAAACAAAATTGTTTTCAATTTGTCACTGATGTTGAGACTTTAATGAAGTGGCTGATACAACAGCAAAGATTTTGGTTCTTGCAAAAGAGGCTGGGTTCCAGAAAATTGAGGTAGAGAATAATGATAAATTTTTGCAATCCCATGATGAACAACTCACATTAGATAAATTCAATTACAAACATAAATTCTCTGAAGAAGAAGGAAAGTAAAGAAAACTTCAAACAAGGCAAAAATAAAAAAAATTATGCACTATGCAGAATGATAAATATTGTTACTGAATGTTGCAGTACATGTATCCAAGATCACTAACATGTCATCTAAGGAATTCACACAAGATATGAACATTAACAAAGTTTTATTGTTCAACATAAGAACAAATACACAGGAGCAAGAATGCATACATCTTACTCACCTCACATCTAGGAGAAAAAAAGAAGGTTCAAGCATTGTGCATGATAACATCACAAAAAGTTCACCAATGAGGTAACTAGCTGTACCTATCTGTTATTAACTCCAACCAATGGGCTGCCACACTAAATGTTATAATGATATAGTAAAAAGCAATACTTTACAAATTGCATATGCTTTCAGATGTATGAAGATGTTTGAATGCAAACTACAAGAAAGCAAACAAACCATCTTGATTTATTTTCTTTGACACTGAGATATTTCTAATTCCACAGATATATCAAAGCCTTCCATATCAAAAAATTTTAGTATGAAAGTATCAAGAAAAATACGAGGGCAAGGTGAAAAGTTCTCAGCCTAACCCATAGAAGGCGCTACTACAAATGAAAGTATTGTCTGGTTATGTTTCCAAACTTGTTACAAAAGTAAATACCAAGTGTGAATATGATCAGACAAATAGTTTTTTTTTATATGGCTGTTTAAAGTAAGCATTGTGTGTTTTTTTGACAAAATGAATAAACTTGAATATTGTTCCGTCATAAAATTCTTCGTTTTGGATGATTTATCGTCAACAGAAATTTATCCAAAGTTGGTAAAAGTATATAAGGAGTCTGCACCTTCATTATCAACAGTAAAAAAAATGGGCAGCGGAGTTTAAACGTGGTTGTACATCAATTGAAGATGATCCACGTGAAGGATGGCCAAAAACTGCAACTACCGAAGAAAATATTGAGAAGATACACAATATGGTTCTAGATGATTGACGATTAAAGGTGTATGAGATAGCTAAGAAAGAAAGAAGAAAGGGTAAAGCACATTTTACATGAAGAACTCAGTATGAGAAAGCTTTGCGCAAGATGGGTGCCGCATTTGTTAAATGCTGATCATAAACAAATGAGAAATCAACTTTCTCATCAATGTTTGCACTGTTTTAAGAAGGATTCAACTGATTTTCTGCGCAGATTTGTTACAATGGATGAGACATGAGTTCACCACTTCACCTGAGTCAAAACAATAGTCCAAGCAGTGGGTAGAAGCTGGTGGCTCTGCACCGAAGAAAGCAAAGACAATTGCATCGGCTGGAAAGGTTATGGCTAGTGTTTTTTGGGATTCCAAAGGGATTCTTTTAATTGACTACCTGTCAAAGGATCAAACAATTAATGGGGAATATTATGCACATCATCTTGACCAGCTAGATGAAAAAATTAGAGAGAAAAGGCCTGGTTTGCAAAAGAAAAAAAATCCTCTTTCACCAGGACAATGCACCCGCTAACAAAGGTGCTTTGGCAATGGGAAAACTGAGGGATTTAAAGTATGAATTATTGGAACATCCTCCCTATTCGCCAGATTTGGCTCCCTCTGACTTTCATTTATTCCCAAATCTTAAAAAATTTTTGGCGGGAGAACATTTTGGATCAAGTGAAGAGGTGATAGCAGCGATAAATGGATATTTTGAAGACTTCCAGAATCGCACTTCAGGGATGGAATACTGTTATTGGAGAAACGTTGGACAAAGTGTATTGAACTAAAGGGAGACTACATTGAGAAATAAATGCACTTTTAAAATAAAAAACTCATTTTTTCACTACTAAGCCGAGGACTTTTTACCTTGCCCTCGTAATTACAGTAGAGTATCGATTATCCGACCCCCAATTAACCGTCACCTCGATTAACTGACCGCGTTCTAGTCGGCAAATTCAAATGTCCGCTAGTGATGTGCGCTACAATATTTGGCTATGTCTTGGCTACTTTAATATTATTTTTGTTAAATTTTTGCATGTTTAGCTGGCAACATTGACTCAACCATAGAGGGGAGGCCAGTATTTAAACGAGACTTAATTTTCTAATTATGAGTGGTTGTTTGTTTTGTGAGCAATAAAATAATTTAAAAATAATTTTTAATGATACAATAGCAACGATTATTATTTTTTAAAAAATTTGATAGGCTTAACATGGAGGAAAATTGACTCTCCAAAATTTCCTAGAGAATAACACACTCATTCTCTTTTATGATCAACTACAACTCATTTCATTAAATCTTATTCTCCTTCGGTAAGTACAAAAACCACACATTAATTAGGGAATTCGATCCCGGTCCTTATTTCTAATCCCAGGATTTCGGGATTATACTTAGTCAATCCCGGTATTATTTCGGTATTGAGGGTTAATAAAAAATAAGAAAATCTTACAGAAATCAACAAATCAATATTTAGACAAAAATCAACATATTTTACGGTATACACCTAGCTAATTTAATCACTTTAACTAATCAGATTTAGAGTCAGACTAACCAGACTTAAAATCACTTAGTCTTCATGTTAAAGTTATTCTTTTTTAAGCATCACTGAGATCTCTTTAAACTTACATAAATTGAAAAAACCTTTATGTAACAAACTATGCAAATAAACATTAAAAATTAACAAAAATCTCTCTTAACATCGACTAAATAACTCAAATTTTCTTACGTGTATACTGGAAAGTGTATAAATTAACACTCCTAAACCTTATAACTCCAGTAATAAACATTTAATAGCAAACTAACGTTTTCAACCGTACATTCGGTCTTCTTCAGGTTTAAAAAACCAGTTATATTCGAACATGTGAATGCATAGAACAAAAATTCTGAAATTATTTTCAAAAAATGGAACTTTACCAACGTAATTTAAAAGAATAAAACGTTATGCATGTGCATTGCCATGGCAACGACATGTTACATGTGAAAATACGTTCCTATAATGACATATATGTGCTACATACGTTGACATACATATAATGACATAAATGTGCTACATACGTTGACATACATATAATGACATAAATGTGCTACATACGCTCCTATAGTGACTTATATAAATACACAAAATCGGGGTGTGGCTTCTAACCACTATTGTGGTCATTGCCTGTTCCTTCATAGCAGTATTTCCAAGCGTGTGACAAATTATCAGCATCCTTAGAGTTAATGCAATTGGTGCGTAACCCGGCCTTGTAAATGTTTATTGGTGCTATTAAATGTTTATTACTGGAGTTATAAGGTTTAGGAGTGTTAATTGACTAAATAGACAACATTCATGTAACAATCTAATAAGTAGGTAGTATAGCAAGTTCTTAGCAAAAAGTATTTAAAAATAATATTAATCGGTCACATTTTTCTTAAATATAAAGAAAACTAATCTAATAGGAACATTCTAATTTGAATTGCTAAAATATGATCTGAGAAATAACATATCCAGTGTCTCATCACTAAGTCTGCTTCTCAATTTGCAAATTCTCAATTTGCTTCACATATATGCAGCTGCTGAGAAAATGCGTTTAGGTTTGATGAAAGTTGGAGGAATCGTTAGTAAATACTGATAAGCCCACTCTAGTTATAGTTCCGAGGACATGGGGAGGTTGGAAGAAAACAGTCCGGTCGACACAGATTGGGATTGTAGGAGTAAAGGCTAGCGAACCAAATACGGCAGAAGTTAGGGACCGACCTTCCCGCCGCAGACTTCTCCACAGTACTAACTAGGGAATTAACTTCCCAATGGAACATCGTGAACGAACGCTGTGGTCTTGTGCTACATGGACCTTGCTACCACTTCCTCCTCCAAACAAGTAAAAAGAAAACCCTCTACAACTAATGCAGAACTTTTTCTGGTGTGTGACTCACGTGCCCCTGGGAAGGGCTCTCCATTGTTTGGTACACCATCTTTTCACTGGACATACTATTGTTTCGATCATTGTAAGCATGTCTTTCTAAAAATAAACACGTTAATTTTGTAAATTCAGTCTCTGTGTGAGTCTCTCAGCGTCCAGCAAACCACTACCCCCATACGTAAAAAGACTTTCTCGCATCATCCTGACAGATCGCGAGCAAGACAAGGGTCGTAACCTTTTCACCTAAGGTCGACCCCCTAAGCAAGAAGCATTGGGTCTATATTAACCACACTGGCAAAACAAGATGGCTGACACATTGACAGGTAAAATGCACTGGGTAGTGCTCTCGACTGCGCCAGAAAATCGATTGGTGCCCACAAAAATTCAAAAATACAAAAATGAAGTATATTACCAAGTAATTCAGAGAGAACTGCTTGCCTATCATTTTAGTTCAAAATACAAGAAGTTTTATTCCAAGCAAGTATCGCAAGCCCGCTAGGTTAATTTCTGCTGCTTGCTTAGAATAAAATTTCTCGTATTTTATATTAAAATGATAGGCAAACAATTCTGTTAAAAGCACTGGCACTGAACGTTTCGCTTCATGCAGTCTATTTTGCAACTTTTTTAAAATGGTGTCAATCCCAAAAATCTTGGGATTAGGAAAACTTAATCCCAAAAATTTTTAAGACTGAAAAGTGGTCGGAATCCCGACCTGACCACGATCTTGAAAATCGAGATCCCGGGATCAAATCCTCTAATTACAATATATTATATCTGTTGTGTAATAAATGATCTTAACTGTCTATTTCTTGTTTTTACTAAGACAAGATAAACATGGTTCTAAGTTACTGGTAAATACTACATTATATATAGCGCTCATTCTCTCATGAGAGAATTATGGGACCCATTTATTAATAAAGTAACAATAGTTACAGTTGTAAAATATGTAAAAAATTTGTTAAAATTTGAAATTACATAACATTTCAAACAGTAATAATTAACAAAAAAAAAAAAAAATTATGAGTAAATGAAAAAAAATAATAACAGGGTGGCAACATCACAGCATCATTCAATATCTTATGTTCAGATTGTATTTACTTATTTTCAGACTATTGTTTATTACTAATGTAAAACTTCTTTTCATTATTCTCAATTGATAAAATTTTAAACAAATAAAAAAAATATGTCATGTATTTTCTTAATGGGTAAAAAATAAAATTTCTAAAGTTCTTTAAATCTATTTTAATTTCAACTAAATAATAATAATAGTAAATTTTAATTATAAAATAAAGACTATGAAATGATCTCAAAATTTAAATACAGAATTTCATACAAATGTTTTCCATTTATTTATCCTACATAAGATAATGAAGAATTCACATAATTTCAATCAAATCTGTTTATCATTAGAGACAATAGAAATTTTTATTTGATTTTGTGCATGCTAATTTAACAGTATTCAAATTTTATTACTGCTTATAAATATCACTCTGTCACTCAATTACAGATGAGCATCGAAATTCAAAATTTTAGATTTTTAATAAAGTTACTGTATACAATAATTTTATTAAAAATCTAAAATTTTATTTTAATTATATATTCATATAATTTAAATTTATTTATTTTTTTTAATAATGAAAGAAAAATTTTAAAAAATCTGTTTATTTTTAATCTGTAACATCTAAGTAAGAAAATTGTCTTATTTATATTTGTTTAGATGCTTACTTTCTATATGTAGCATCAAGGAAATCATCACAAAATGTTATTTTTACAATAAAACATTTTTTTAATATTCAAAAAAGTAATGGCAAACACTGTAAATTTTAAAAAGAAATCAATATGGTACATGTGGCAGATCTGGCAGTCATGTTTAAGATGCCAAAGTTGACAGTGTGCAACCAGTAAATATAATTTTCCTTTTATTATACAGTATATGTATTTTATTTATTATTTTCATATTTTACTTTATTATTTAGGAAATTTTATTGTCTTATTTTTCCATAAATTGTGTGCAATTGCTGTTTATCAAAATGGGTTTTATTTAATCTAGAAATGATTTCACTTTCCATTATTTCTAATGGAGAAAATTGATTCAGATTTCAAATGGCTTTCTGAAACAAATTAAATTTGAAATACAAGGCACAACTGTTTATACTTATCATCAACACTTCAAGATTATACTTCAACAATATTGTATAATATATTACCAAACAGTAACTAGATGTATTTTATTTAAATGAAATTTATTAATTTTTCACACAAAAAATTTTTACTTTAAATATGGAAAAACAAACCTCATGTCTTTTTGCTCNTAATTAAAAAAAAAAAAAAAAAATTATGAGTAAATGAAAAAAAATAATAACAGGGTGGCAACATCACAGCATCATTCAATATCTTATGTTCAGATTGTATTTACTTATTTTCAGACTATTGTTTATTACTAATGTAAAACTTCTTTTCATTATTCTCAATTGATAAAATTTTAAACAAATAAAAAAAATATGTCATGTATTTTCTTAATGGGTAAAAAATAAAATTTCTAAAGTTCTTTAAATCTATTTTAATTTCAACTAAATAATAATAATAGTAAATTTTAATTATAAAATAAAGACTATGAAATGATCTCAAAATTTAAATACAGAATTTCATACAAATGTTTTCCATTTATTTATCCTACATAAGATAATGAAGAATTCACATAATTTCAATCAAATCTGTTTATCATTAGAGACAATAGAAATTTTTATTTGATTTTGTGCATGCTAATTTAACAGTATTCAAATTTTATTACTGCTTATAAATATCACTCTGTCACTCAATTACAGATGAGCATCGAAATTCAAAATTTTAGATTTTTAATAAAGTTACTGTATACAATAATTTTATTAAAAATCTAAAATTTTATTTTAATTATATATTCATATAATTTAAATTTATTTATTTTTTTTAATAATGAAAGAAAAATTTTAAAAAATCTGTTTATTTTTAATCTGTAACATCTAAGTAAGAAAATTGTCTTATTTATATTTGTTTAGATGCTTACTTTCTATATGTAGCATCAAGGAAATCATCACAAAATGTTATTTTTACAATAAAACATTTTTTTAATATTCAAAAAAGTAATGGCAAACACTGTAAATTTTAAAAAGAAATCAAAATATAATGCATACTAATTCACCGTTAATTTTACTACATAGATAATATTTTATAAAATTTGATTTGCTGCATGATTCTAAAATTAATCATATAAAAATAAAAAGGAATATTTACTGATGTCCCTGAAGTTCATAAGCAGTACCCGCTTGGCCTCCAATATCCCAAACAATGATTGATTGGTCAAAACTGCCAGAAAATAAAAGCTTGCGATTTGGATCCCAACATAAACAACGAACACTACCTACAAAAAAATAAAATTATTTTACATTTAAGAAAATTTCAGAGAGTAATAATTGGCAATTTGGTAATCATTTTTCATAAAATTTCTTTTAATATTGTTTTGATTTCTCTTTTTATTATTGATAATTATTATAGAAACACAAGGTCAATGGCAAAAGATCAGTTATTTATTTTTTAAGATCAGATTATAAAACATCTACATTTTAGTATTAAAAACATAAATTTTAACCAGCGTGTTACCTGATCTGCCACTATTAAATACCATTTGCTTCCATACTACTGTTTTTATACTCTCATTTTTGTAATTTGGGTCTTTTTTCTTCTATCATAAAGAATAGAATGGTATCTGATATCCTGCAGCATCACACCATCTAATATTGGCTATTTATTTATTTAATTTATTTTTGCACTTTCAGAAATTTCCACATCTTGCTGTATGTACTGCTAAAGATGTTGTGTACATTTGGAATTATGGATGCTGCAAGCCATTTGGCTGAGACAGAATTGTTATGCAAAAATATACATTGTCTCAGTACGCTGTCACCAAAATATTGGAAGACAATTCTAACCAGGTGATTTTACCATGCATGAGCAGTGATGAAGGCAATAGAGTTACCTCAAAATCACACTTAGTGGAGAGCCAGCATTAGTGTAATTTCAGCAATTTAAGATATTGTATTGTTAGCAAATAAATTAAAATTAATAATAATTAAAGCACTAGTTATGACTGATAACAACTGCATGATCAGCTACATATTGAGATGAATAGCACAAAGAGATTAAAAAAAGTCTAGTTACATAGAGATGATGAAAACAACAACCAAGTTCTAATTACAATATGTAAATTTTTAATAATAAATCTTGTATACTGATATAATAAATTATAACAGTTCAAGCCTTTTCCAGCACAAAATATTTTATCTATCAAATGCTTATGACTATCTAGGCAGCCAAAAATGTTCAATAAATAAAATATTTTATGCTGGAAAAGGCTTGAACTGTTAAAATAAATTATAAAAATTTACATTATAACTTGTTTTAGGATCTAATAATTTTTATAAAATTAACCATCATCATCAGCATCATCATCTGTGATTACAACAAGTAGAGTCTGTTATACAATGTTCACTATTAATTTTTCTATATTCAAGTATTTTCCTATTATAATAAAAAATTATACTTTCTATATTATTATTCTTAATACAAAAATCAATACCTGAATGTCCTTTTAATGTTGTAATCGGTTTATATCCGGAATCTTCTATTTTCAGCATAGTTATTTGACCAGAATAATCACCAATAAATACATGTTTAGATTGCATATCATATCTGATAATTTAATTAAGTAATTAACTTTATTTAATCTTATAATTACTTGGATTGCTAATAATAAAAAATTGAATACAACAAATAGCTCTAATAATTGTTTAATTACATTAAATTTATTTTTAATTATGGATTTTATTGGCTTCATTATTATTCTATTTCATCAATGTTAGACTCCACCATGAAGAATCTATTATACAGTAAGACCCTGCTTAACACAGGGAATGCATTCCTAGACAACAAAGCACTAAGTGAAACAGCATTAAACAAGGTCATTTTAACACACAGTAAATAAGGAAAAGGGAACACGCAACCAAAAATAAATAAATTTTACTATAATTTTAAGTAATTTTTATATTAATTTGTATAATAATATATGTTAAATAACACACAAACATATGCACACAGAAATGTAAAGTTCATTTTTTGTGACAAAGGTCCTGACTTTTCTAAAATTCTTGTTCTTTTGCAATAAAGTCGTGAAGTTTTTCATTTATCACTTTTTTTCTTTCCTTAAGCAAATGTCAGTAGCAGAAAATTGCATCCAAAATGCTTCATTTTGCTTTTGCACTCCTTTCAAAATCTGGATCATTCACTACAATTTGATCAATGATTTCAGTTATCTAACCAAACTTTCACTAAGGAATCTGTAGAGAAATTTTTTGGGTTCTTCATTTTCAGAATCTCTATTTTCTAGTTCCACAGGAATTCCATGTTCTGCCAGTTCTCAAAGGTCGTCGTTTGTAAGACTCTCACCAGAAACCTGCGGTAACTCCTCTATATCCTGCTCATCTATATCTCCTAGTCCTGCTATATCAATTAGGTTGAGTTTGGTCAACCTAATTGATATAGCATGATAGGCTCTTCTTGTTGAGAATTCTTGGATAACTTTAGCCATAACTTCTTCTGCACTTTGTTCGTACATTTATCAGTTAATTCTTGCCAAGCAAAATTGATATTTCCTATGGCATCCATGATGTTATATTTTTTTCCAAAATTGCACCAAACAAACACAGATTTAAAGAAAGTACATCTTTTTGCCACCTTTTGCTGATTGGTTTGTGTTCGCAAATAATTATATTATATACGAATCAATAAAATGTTGCGATAATTTAAATCAGCATAAATTTTGAGCTTTTTTTTAAGGCTTCGAGCAGACTGCGTTATATTGAATCAGCGTTAAGCGAGGCAGCATTAAGCAGGGTCTTACTGTATTTGAAATTTTTATTCTTTATATTCTTTAACTATTAAGCTTAATATTTCATTTTTTTTAAAATTTAGATCTCCATTTTATATTTTTTGTAAAACTAAAAATATATATTACTTAGCATTATATCCAGTATGTTGTATTCAATTCCATTTGTACATACTAATTCTGATTATATAAATTATTTGTAAAAACAGTATAAACTAAATATCTACTGGAAAAAAAACTATTACATTTCACTACTTATCATATTGATAATGCTAGAAGCTGCTTAAAAATATTAAATTACAAATTCAGTCAGCAAATAATATATATTTCAGATTATTTTATCATAATCATTTTTTATGTATTTAAAAACTATTTAAAAACTTTCTCTGTATAGTTAAAAATGCAAGACTATAATTACCTTAAATACTGTATATTTAAGGTAATCAAAAAATAAGATCATCTTCAAAGAAATGTTTTTGGTTTTTCTGCAGCTAAAATTTGGAATTTCAACATTTAACACACATAAATAGGGTAATTTTTAGTGAAATGCTAAAATTCCAAATTAACACTGCTCTGCAAATGTTGTTGTTTATATATGGATAAAGTTGTAGAAATGCTGAAAATGTTTCAATATAATAAACTTTCTTCAGTCAGCTTAAACAAGTAGCACTGTGTTGCATTCTTATAAGATTGTTGAATTTTGATTCTGTATAAGTAATAAATCAACTTATCTTCTATTTAAACAGTCTTGAAAAGTTAGTGTAAATTCCTGTGAATAACCTTGAATTATCAACACTTTAGTTAGTTAGAAAGGGGATGCTGTTTGTGCACTGCTTCAGGTTATCCATTGATTGTAAATTGAAATTACAATCTCACCCAACAGCTTTTCCTTTGTCTAAACATAATGTTTTTAAAAATCTTGAAAATCTTTCATGTGCAACACACAATCATCTTCATTACAATTTTTCTGGAAACTATCAGACATATATGTATACGTCACCTTTAATTGACTTTCATTTTTTATAAGTCAATCTGCATTTTAATTCATATCATTAGATGCATCTGCTTAAACTGTTATCTTGAAAGCTAGTAACATTCCAGTAATATCTTCTTTTCTATATAATAACTCTAGAAACTGACTGTCAATTTTAGCATATTTTAGTCCTCTACAGCAGGGGTGGCCAACAAGTCGATCGCAATCGACTGGTAAATCACGAAGCCAATTTTGGTTGATCGCTCGCGATGTCTTGAATTAATATGTTACACTTGTAACCGAACGTAACGCGCAAACGCAAATGTAGTGATATTGGACCATTGCATCTTCTTTCAGATGCGGTTTTGTCGGTCCATGTGATATTCATTTGCGTACAGTTGTAAAAGGGAAATAAGAAATGTAGACAAAGGATCGTAAAACCAAAAAAAAAGGTGGAAAGAGGGACAGAGGGAGTAGTTGGGACACGGTAGAAAGAGGAGGGGTGAAGTGGTGGTCCCCAAACGTTGAGTTTCAATTTTTATTCTGTTTACAATGTACCTTTTCTTCACGTTTTAAATGAAATTGTGGCTTTTCTTACCTATCTAAACATAGTATGCATTCAAAACTTCCAAGAACGTCAGTCTATGAGGCGTTAAATATACTTGAAATTATTTTTAATTTACGAGTGCTTTCAAAAAACCAACAATAATTTTGCATTCTCTTCCCGCACCTCCTACATGATTCAAAGCACATACATGTCGGCCCCTTTATGTGCGTCTGTTTACGTGTGTTATGTATTTTAAATTATGTCCCGCGCTTTAATATTTAAAATTTAAATTTTAACATAAACTTGCACTTGTGGATCTATTCCGATCGGTTTCTATGCTATCTATGTTAAGGCGCATGCGTGCCAAAAATTTTATACGTATTTACAAAGTGTTTTAATTTAAATTCTAAAAATTTAATTGTACTTAATAGACATCTAATTGGCTCTCATGTTATGCATGTTAAGGTGCACGTGCGCCAATTTTTCGCGTTCACATAATAATTAATAGCCACTCCAATCGATGTTTATTTGTTTTAAAACGCATGCGCACCAATTTTAAATGTTTAATTCTAAATATTTAAATTTAAAATCTCTTTTTTGTATGTTCAAAAACGGCTAGTATCGTTAATGTTTTAAATTTAAATGTATGGTTCGAATTCTTTATTCGAATTTAATTTTACCTGAAGACGACGTGCTTATTTACGTCGAAAGCGCTCGTAAATTAAAAATAATTTCAAGTATATTTAACGCCTCATAGACTGACGTTCTTGGAAGTTTTGATTGACATAAGTTGGCGTGACATCCAACCCGTGAACTCAATACACCTAACATAGTATGCATTTCACACCACCCCCTCGTCACTTAGACTAACCCTACGACAACAAGTCGATCACGACACATTTTTAAGATAAAAAGTAGATCTTCTGTACATAAAAGTTGGCCACCCCTGCTCTACAGTAAATAAGATGTGAGATATTCCTAGACTTTCCAACTTATATCATTACATATTACATAGGTGTATAAGCTTAAATCTGCTGTTTCTTAGTCAAAAAACAAAAACAAATTTATTCAAAGTACTTTCCCTCACTAGTGACACATTTGTTCCATCTCTCGGGCACATGTGTGCCCAAGAGATGGGACACACGTGTGATGGAACAATCCCCGAGAGATTGTTCCATCTCTCGGGTCACATGTGTGGATACCATGCCAAAAAAATTTCTTCTCTTTCGAGGCAAACCACTCATCAAGCCATTTTCGGACGTCTTCGTAAGAATCAAAGTGCCGCTCAGCAAGCACGTGGCCCATCGATGAAAAGAGGTGATAGTCGGAAGGAACCAGGTCTGGTGAATAAGCGGGATGGGGTAGCACCTCCCAGTTGAGTGTCTCCAAGTAGTTTTGGACCAATGTTGACACATGCGATGGTGCATTGTCGTGGAGGAAAATCAGCTTGTCATGTCTTTGCTGATAATCCGGCCTTTTATCACGCAGAGCACAGTGCAATTTGATCAGTTGTTGGTGGTAGCAGTGAGCATTGACAGTTTCACCAGGTTTCAACAGCTCATAGTAGACAATACCCTGCTGATCCCACCAAACGCACAGCATTGT